AAATCCAGCCCCAAATGACCCCAAAATCCAGCCCCAAATGGTCCTGAAATGACCCCAAAATCCAGCCCCAAAAGGTCCTGAAATGACCCCAAAATCCAGCCCCAAACAACCCCATAATGATCCCAAAATTTGGCCCCTAAATGACCCCCGAATCCAGCCCTTCCCCCGGGTTTTTGGGGTCCCCACTCTCCTCCTGGGATTTTTGGGATCTGGGGGAGTCTCCCTGGGGGTCCCGCCCCCCAAAATCCCCTAAAAATCCCCTAAAAATTCCCTAAATTGTGTCCCCACAGGGCTGCCGTGCAGGACAACGCTCTGCTGGTGAACTGAGGGGACATCGGGGACACCGAGGGGACATCGCGGGGGGGGGGGGGGGACGCCCCAAAACCCCCCCAAGCTTTTAATTTATTTTATTTTCTATTTTACCTGCCCGGGACCCCAAATCTGGGACCCCCAGGATGGATTTTAGGGGGGATTTTGGGGACTTTGGGGTCCCCGGATCCGTTTTTGGGGATGCTTTGGGACCCCCAAATCTGTTTTTAAGGGCATTTTGGGACCCTCTGATCAGCTTGGGGGGTACATTTGGAACCTTAGGACCCCAAATCTGGTTTTGGGGGCGCTTTGGGACCCCCAAATTCGTTTTTAAGGACACTTTGGGACGCTCTGATCGTTTTTGAGGGTAAATTTGGAGCCTTGGGATCCCAAATCTTTTTTTTTTGGGTTCACGTTGGGACCCCCGGATCTCTTTTTGGGGACCCTTCAGGACCTTGTCCCTGTCCTTGGGGTCACTGGAGCAGCTCTGGGTCACCCCACACCCAAAAATGTCCCTTTGCACCCCAAAATTTGGGGTGTGGCCACACCGGGGGGGAGGGGGGGGGGTGGCACCTGTCCCTGGGGTCACTCCACACCCAAAATTGTCCCTTTTCACCCCAAAATTTGGGGTGTGGCCACACCAGGGGCGGGGGGTTCGTGTCCCCAAGGGGACAATAAAGGTGACCTAGGACACGAGGGCTCTGTGGTGACAGTGGGGACACCCTGGGGTGACAATGGGGACACTGGGTGGCACCCAGGGGTGGCAGTGAGGACAACACCCATCCCTATAGTGGTACAGCCCTGTGGTAAGGCCTGTCCCCCACCCCCCACAGTGGTACAGTCCATCTCCACGCTGCCTTACACAGTGGACGTCCTATTACAGCCCCCCCTGCGCCCACAGTGGTACCTCCCATCTCCCCCCCGTCTACTCTCAGTGGTA